GGTACTTCACAGTGCTTCCCCTCCCTTAATTTGCTTTACAGCTGCCATTGTTTGTTTCAGACCTACCTTCCTCCACAGCCTTATTTGCTTCACAACAGTACCAAAACCTTTCTCCTCCCTTTTGCTAAGTCCTGTCTACGCTGCCTGAGAGACTAATTCTGTAGTCCTTTTCATTCCCACCATTGCGCTGCTGGTACAACCCATGGACTTGTCACTCTTTTGCACTTCTCAAATTCAGCCTATTGATAAGTTTGGTCTTTGAAGTCATTCCCAATTCCTCTCCATCCTCATTGCCCATACCACATTTTGTTTGTGGACTGCAGAACCCTCTAGTCACAGCAGTTTCTGTCTGTTTTCCTGTTATTTAATCCATGCTTTGACAAAATCACTTTTCTCATCCATTATTCTGACTTTGTTACCCCCTTTCAAATATTAATTCCCCTCCCTTGTATCTAATCTTTTGCTGTGCCAGCAGCCTTGTTTCTGTTTTTTTTTCTCAGGGACACTGATCTCTGAATACCATCTGTGAGGGCTATTCTGTAATCATTTATTTCCTCTTCTCGGGGGATCAGATATTGCACGGGAATATTCTTGCATATCCCAGCCACCATGTCACAAATCACATTCTGGGTTTTGACTGGCTGAACCTTGTCATATACCACCTAATATGGCCCTAATATTATTTCCCAGTCTGCCATGGACAAGGAGATGGATGTGGAACTTTGTATTTCTGTCTCCTACTTGTTCTTATCCATGTGTTTGTTTTCATTCTTCAGGTAATTTCTGGAGTTTGAGACAACTGATCCAGCAGCTCTTGTGCTATTACAACCGTCCACCTGAAATGGAGAGGGCTGTCCAGGTTAGGGATCCAGAAAGCCTAGCAGTACCTTGAAGAGGGAAGGGATGCAATGGAAATAGAACCTGCTACTCAAAGCCATTCAGCATCTGGCCAAAGGGTGGACATGCTTATGGTCCTGAACTCTGTCAAGCTCAGTGGGGAACTCCCTTCAAGGAGAAAGGGTGTGATTAACGTAGAGTATGTATCCTCCTAAAGAGAGCCATCTGTTCTCAGGCGTCAAGGCTGCCGTCATGACTAAATCTGGGAATCTTTTTCCCAGCAAAAATCTTACTGCCGTTTTGGTTAACCTGGAAAAAAGTGCAGTTCTTGCCCATTTGGCAAACAGCTTTGGACAGATACAAATGGAAAGATACTTTTGCCTTGTGCCATGTTAGAGGCCCTTGTGTATCTGAGCTATCTGCACGGGATTGGTGGATATCATACTCAGCCTATGGGAGACCCATCCAGTCTAGGGCAATGGTTGGACCCCACATGAGTTGTCCTAGAGCATCTAAAGCAACACCAGATGCCTATGTTTAGGCACCTGAATTGCTCCACAGGTATTTCATAGTACATCTTTGACAAAGGAAGGACAGCAAGTATAAAGTACACCTTATAATGTTTAAGTATAAAGAAAAACTAATCATTCACTAATACACTGGAACAAAAAGGAGGCCACAAGGGTTGAGGAGACTGTGTGCATCTCTCCTTTCTGTACTCTGTGAAACTGTGTGCTCTGTCTCTGTCTTGAACAGTGTTTTCTCCTGCAGGATCTGGCAGAAGCTGTTGACACAATGAGTCCAGAAGAGGTAAGACTAGATGCGCAAAGGGAGTGAGGGCAAGTGACTGCTTCCTTTGCTCATTCCCTATCATTTGTAATTCTTCCTGTCAAACTTTCTTTTTAGTAAGTGTGGGCACCACACTTTCAAGCAAAAGAAGAGATTTTTCTGCTGAGCAAGGCTATGAGTAACCTGATCTAGCTTTGAAGTTAGGTTGTCTGTGAGCAGGGTGTTGGCCTACAGACCTCCACAGGTCCCTCCTCACCCGAATCTTTCCATAGGTTGATGTTGTTCCTTCATTCTTTGCATAAAGGGACTATTATCTTGCAGTCACAAGGGGAAGGTGCACTCGGAAAGGAAAGTTAAGATGTTCACTCCCTCTTTAAGCAGGAAGGAGCAAAGCTTCACCTTCGCAGATGATTTTCTCTCTGCTGAGAACCTCTGAGGTACTGGAATTGCTGTGTTCCCATAGGGACTTGACATCAGGCAAGGAAAGAATGGGAAACCTGAGGGGGATGATATAATGGGCAAGGCAGATGGACAAGGTACATAGGAGGGAAGGAGCATTAACAAGAGAACGCTAGGTGTCTGGTTTGGGTGCACCAGCTAGGAACACTGTTGATTACTCTAAGAGTGATTCGTCTCTTTTCTGTGTCAGATAGATGCTTGGGAACAGGAGGAGCTGGACAAGGATGTATGCTTTGACAGCTGCCGCATAGATCCTGCCCCTTTCCAGCTGGTAGAGAGAACTTCCCTGCACAAGGTGGGTGCAGATGTCCCTCTCATCCACAAGTTTTTTTTTCACTGTCTATCATTGCAAGTCTAGCCTATGACTTATTCCTTCTTTTTTTCTTCTTCCCCTTCCACTGGCTCACCTTGTCCACATCCAGTTATATTTCTCATCAGCTACTTCCACATCCAGCTATAGAAATTATTTTGTGCCTGTAATCCTCCTCACATACCTCCAGAAAATGTTACATGAAACTGGCCTGAATCATAGGCTCTTTATTGATGTGAAGCATAAGCAAAGAGAAAGCTAGGTCATATGACTTTTAGAGTCAGCTCAGGATGACTCTAAAAGACTAGCGCAGCAGGTAGGGACAAAACTGGAAGAACCAGAGCACAAAATGACTTGCAGCTAGAAGGGGACAACTTGGGGGAAAAGCAGTCATTATTTTAGTACATCGGGGATGAGAAATGATTAGGCATTTACTCAATGGAGAGGGAAAGCTGCCTACTGAAAGAAAAGGGTACAGTGCCTTTTTTTATTTTATCAATATGCTTCCCACAAAATTAATTAATTACTGTTACCAAAGGGGTAACATTTCAGTCTTGGAAAAAAAAAGAACAGGTTAGCATATACATGAGTTTGGAGTTTTCTAAAGGACTAGCTGAAGTAATCTGAAAATGAGCTAGCCGTTATCTTTGAGAATATAGGATGACAAGAAATGATACGTGAAGATTGCAAGTGGGGAAAGTTTACACCACTCTTTAAAAAGAGAAAGTTAGAAGCTCGGAAATACCAGACAAATCAGCCTAACATGTATGTACAAAAAATGCTGGAATAAATAATGAAACTATATTGAGGTTTGCATGGTTAGAGCTAAGTGTGATAGTACTGACAATGGAAAGAGTAGCCCAGCTTAAGATCAAATTGTATCTAACCAGTCTGATTTTCTTCTATGTTAGGGTAAAATAAGCCTTGTGCCTGAGAATTGAGATTATCCCTGGTTTACACTTGAACATGATATTTCCTCTCATGTGAGGTTTAAAAAAAAAGAAAAGAAAAGAAAAAAGGCAAGCATCAGCTTTGAAAGAATCACTTTGTGTAAGGCCACAGGTAGAGTCCAGCTGATATGCAGCTTCAAAGAAGGTATAGACCAGGCAGAAATGATCCATAGATGAGCACTGAGAATGCTGAAAGTTTTTGAAAACCTGATCTATGAAGAAAGAGTAAAAGAATAGGGTATATTTAGGCTGAAGAAGCAAAGATCGATGTGCAGCATGATAATCTGTCTTTTTAAGAAGGCTTTGTAAGAGAAAGGGAATAACTTGTCCTCAGTGTTCCCACTGCACTGGATAGGGAATAACAAGCTTAAATTTTAACAGGAAACATTCTGGAACAGAAAAAAAAAAGTCTTCTAGTGGTAAGGAAAGCACTGGAATAAATAGCCAAAGAAGGTTCTGACATCAATAATAGATTAGTCCAAAAATGCCAAGAATAATGAGGGCATGGTTAGTATTGCCTTGGCTGAGTAGATGGAAGGAAGTTCCTGGGCTGAAGGGGAAGACCTCCAGAAGTTTCTTTCAGACCCTTTTTTTTCTGATTCTGTGATCATTATATCTAGAAAATAGATATGTATATTAATATGTATATTGTTACCTGATATTCTTATTTCCAGCACTAAAATGAAATAGGATCTGCACAAGTCTCCAAATGCACAATTAGTTGCATGTTAATCTTTTGTTTGCCAGATGGAGGATGGGAGTGTTGAGAATGTTCCCTGTATCAACACCCTCGCAACTATGGCTACACAGCAGAAGGACAAGTATTTGCTAGTTATGAAAAAGGAATGGAAGAGGTAGTTTCTAACTGGGATGGCTGCAGAGCTGTATGCCTTTGGGATCCTAAAATCCTGTGTCCCAGCTCTATTGCCAAGTTTCACATTATCAGCCTCCAAAGTCCTGAAATAGTCTTTTTTATTTTTGCTCATAGACACATACGTTGTTCTCATTACTGGGCCTCAGCCATGCCTATGTAACCAGTATGGGGAAGCTGAGGGGAGTGTTGGCTTTGGAAGAGGTAAGTAAAGATCCTCCCATCTCCTCCTACTCAGCTGCAAACATTCTGTGGATCATTGCAAAATGCTTACACCTGCTGGGGATCCAGCTTGGAATAGAAATGACTGTGATCACTGCATTTTCAATCCAGTCTTGAATTCTAAGTCAACCCTTTGGGAGCCATGTAGAGGAACTGGATGAATGCATTTTAGAGGAGGCACAGATGTTGCTTACACAACTGTTAAATGGTTGGTCCTTTTCGTGATGGTAGGGCTCTTAACTAAGTGGCTATTGATGTCTCCAAAAGTGCCAGGAAATTTGTCATTTACTGCGGAAAGAAAAGTCACACCAGTGTAAAATATGATCTCCTCAGGCCCGAGGGGTAGAGCTGTGATTCTTTCTGTATGTGAGCCCTTTACCCTGAAGAGTAGTTGAACTTCTGCTGGGTATGGCTGGGTCAGCTTCCCTTTTATCCATTTTTTCTCTGATCTTTTTCTCTTCCAATAGCTTCAGAAGGCGATAGAGGGCTCCACATGCTCTGGGGTTCGCCTCCGTCCACCCCTTGCCAGTTTCCGTGATACCAACCGAACTTCAGTCAGCAGTGAGAAGGTCAGCCAGGCCACTCAGGTGTGGAACCGGCAGAACAACTGCATGGTGGCATCACAGCAAGCAGCAGACTTGGGGACAGAGAGCCCACTGCCTCCCTCTTGCCACTCCCCCCAGCCCTCACACTTGTGTGATGAGGTGGAAGGCCTGTGCTCCACCTCTGCCACTGATACTGACCTGGAAGAGATGGAGCTGACAGGGCCAGTTGCTGAAAACATCTCAGACATCCTCAAGGACTTAAGCCTACGCTGCACTGACCTAGATGAGGATGAAGATGAGGATGAGGATGTCCCCTTATAGCTGGGGAGCAGTCTATTGCATTCTTCAGCTGAGCCAGCCTTGTCATGCGCACTCTTCAAAGAGAAGCGTGTAGACGCTCTCTTTAAATCCCACAGAAGACTGATTCAGCTGGGAGAAGGGGCATCACACTAACCCTTCTTTCTGCTGCTTTCTGTGCCAAGACTGCTAGGTTGTCTGGAGTGAGATGTGGACTGTAAGGTGGCTAAGAGCAAGTTTAAGGCCTCTGCTTTTATTTGTGGTGAACCAGTGTATACATAATGTGGAAGAAGGAATCATAATAAGACATGGATACTACTGGACACAAGCAGGATGCTCTGGGTCTATCTGCCACATGGAAAGTAGGAGAGCAGCTCTTCTCATTCTCCATTGATGTCATCCTTCCAGACTCTCCTGACCTACACACGCTAGTGTAAACACAGCTTCTAGACCTTCAGCCTAGAAGCATATTGCTGGTTCTACCTGCAATCCCACCTTTGTCGCTGCAGATCCTTTTGACTAGCTCTTACCTTGCACCCCCAGAAACATTCTCATGGAGAACATTTTGCCTCTTTCTCAATTTTGCTCTGGGATTTTCTTGGGTGGGAGGACAGTTAGGAGCTTGTCCTCTGTCCTTTCGCTGAGCTGTCCCCTAAAAACAGGTGGGAGGAAAAGAATTTGGTCCATGTCTCATGTCTTGAATACAGCCAGGGCTTTAAGAAAAGCATTGGAAGGGAGGAAAGCCTTTTTGGTTTCCCATCATCTATGTCATTTTTAAACAGAATGGGAAAAGCTTAAGCAGGGGCATCCTCATTGCTGGAAGGAGAGGAGTAAAATAGCATGTATGTACCTATATTTCAACTATCTGTGTTTGTCTCTCTGAATCACTGTTCACAATTTTTACAAACTTATAGTCTTAAAATATAAGAACTCCAAAAAATGAATTAGGGAGTATTAACAGGCCACCAAGAAATGCAGCAGAGAAGCCCCATTCTCCATGCTTCCATAACAGGTTTCTCTCTAAAACTCCTGCTCTCGTTCCTGATAATTCTATACTGCCTACTTTCCACATATTTTTGTGTGCCTCTGATCTGAGAAATCCAGCTCTCATTTTTGCCAGCTTGTCTCAGTTGTGACTAAGAGCAGAGACCTCCACCCTTATCTGAAGCATCTCTATTCGAGTTCTAGATCTGGAGCATATCTTGATCTGTATCTTGACAAAGCATGTCTCATCAGTTTATGTCATGCATGTGAAACCTTGGCATCCAAAGATAAGATGCTGTTTTGTTTAACACACTGTCCACATGGGTTTGTTAGTAAATAGGCAAAATCAAATTCTGTGTATTCTGCAACTTTCATCTACTATTCTACACCTCTATCATAGCTTTTGTGTGTCTCGATGCTTAGATACAGTCCCAAGCAGTTTGTTGGGTGTGCCACTTACCAGCATAAGGAAAGCAATCCAGGCACTAAGAATATGTTCCTGATAATATTCCCCTGGCTGTTGGACCACATGCCCTTTGCTGATATTGTAAAGCATCGTCCGAATTAGAGTGGCCAGTTGCATCTTAACAGGTGGCTTTCCATAAGCTCTCTTAGAAGCAAGTTCAAAAATATGGTTGCCTCTAATAACCTGATATCGCTAGGAAAATTCTATCCAGGCTTTAATGCCAAGGACTGACTTTGTACCAAATCCTCTACGGTGATTCTCAGGGATGGGGGGAGTCTATGACAAGCTGATGGTAGGGGGAAATCTCCCCAGCTATTTTCTTGGAGAGGTTAATATTTGCTTTTGTTCTCTGGATTTCACTGGCTTATTCTATATCCTATTTGACACATGATCCCTCTGTTTAAGCTAACAGGGAACAATCTTTGCCTCTTTTTCCAAAGTGATCTTCACTCATCTGAGGGTCACCCTGTCCTTGTGAGAAGACAGTAGCAGTTTGGAGGCAAATATCTCATTCACACCAAGTGCCTCCTGCTACCAGAGGGCTGTGTTATGTTCCTGCTTGCCAGGCAGTAGGACACAAACAGCCTCCCTGCTACCTTTGTGTCACTTTCCCCTCCGCTTGTGGAGAAGAGACAGAACCACTGCTATTTTCTCTCAAGTAATTGTGATATGCCTTTGTGAAAGAAGAGGAGAAAGGGCATTCTTTTTAAATATACATAAATGCATAGCGTATTCCAGTCAGTGACAACACTGTGAAGCCAAACTGATCTGGCCACACACCTTCACAGAGGGCCAAGCTTCTCCAAGTTTCTCTGCTCCTGACTTATTACTAGCACGTATGGACTTGATTCCACCACTTTTTTCAGCTTAGCCAAATGGTTGCACTAAGACAGATGAGATGATAGGGAGAAACTCTAAGGCTGCAGTCAATACATATCCCCCACCTCCACCTGAATGCAGATATGTGCTCTGCCCCGGTACTGCATTTCTCCTATGGTGTGTTACAGAAGAACTGGATGAGACTGGATGAGAAAGCAGATGGAGCCTAAATCAAAGCCAGAGAGCGTGTGAGTCATGACAGGCAGATTGTGAGCTGAGGGAGATGAAAACACATGAGGCACAGAGAGGGGCTGGGGGAGCTCAGAGTAAGACCCGAGATACACTGGAAAATTTCATGAGGTTGGTCATCTGCGGGTACAAGAGCACACATACGCATGCCCACACACATGCACACACATGCGCCTCTATCTGCACCAAAGTTATCATGAAGAACTGGACTGTTCCCTGTAGTGAAGCAGAAAATCAGGATCTTGAGTAACCCTCCCCCCACCACCCCGCTCTATTCCATGTGTAGAATTTAAACAGCGTTCATCTGCAGCAGTTTCTCACCTGGAAAAAAGCATGCATACATAAATGTGTGTAGGGAGCCAGGAGGAGACAAAAAACATACTGCAAAGATGGTTTGGGATGGCTGATGATGTTTCTGCTTCCATTTTTATTAATAAAATCTGCTGATGCCATGTACTTTAGTAGGTGTGAAATGTGCAGTAATGAAGATACTGAACCTTTATCAAGAAAACTCTAAGCCTGCACCCTGTCAGGCAATCCTAGATACCCCCCTCAAAGTCTAAACGTGAAACTTTTTTCCTGCAAACAAGGTGACATTGAACTGCCACTCTAAAGCATGCATCTCTCATCCTATCCAAGTAGTACAGACTTGGCTACCTATATGCAAAAAAATGTTTTTTCTCAAACCAAAAACTCCTCAGAATTTACATCATCACTAAGACCTTCATACTCACCTAGAAAGTCAAATCTCAGATCTGCCCCCAAAACCCAAATATAAGTCTTAAAAAAATAAGCTCTGAGCCATAGAGGCTTGCTTTCCTCCTAAACAACCTGTGGAGTTGGTTGAAATCACTTGTTTTGGGCAGAGATTCATGCTACACCAGGTTTGTCAGCTACCACTCAAAGCAGTAAAATAGAGCTCATTTCACTCAGCATTCTCAGCTCTGAGTACCTGCTGAATAACATTTGGTTATTCATAATAATTTCCATATAAGGAAATACTCTGAGAAGAACAGGGTAGTTTAAAATCTCCATGAGAGTATAAAATTTTGGGAACTCCCCACCACCAACACAAAAAAAATTTTTGTGTCTTTTACTTTGTATCTTCAAGTGAAACTTAGTCGTAATCTCAGCTAATTGCCAGTTTACCAATATTCAGTTAATGAAGGCAGGACCTTATCTATGAAATTCTAATCTAGCAAAAAGATGAACTCTCCCTTTTACATGATATTTAAATGTGAAAGCAGAAGTCTCATTTTTAGACTAGTGAATATAAAGAAGTGAAAAAAATAAGGAAGAGCTGAGATTGACAAGACTAAGGATAGAGTTTTGGGAGGTTGTGATAAGGCTCAGAGGCTTAGTCATGATTTGGATGGGAGGATAAAACACTTGGAGATAGACTGCTGGATAACCACAAAAAATGCCTGAAAAAGCAATGAAACTTTTGGGGGTTGGAATTCTTTCAGACTAAAAATCTGCAGATTGCTAACCCTATGGACAAAACCAATTAATACACATGATTTGAAGTAGAGAATCAAGAGTTCACAGAAATAGCCTTCCTTTCCTCCACTGGCACGAATATACAAACACTATATAGAACTGTGTGTTTTGTGGCCAAATGCTACAAGCCAGGGCAATAACTAGCTGAGCCAGTAAAGATCCCTATTTGCAAAATTAGTCCAATCCTAATAAGAGTATAATTAAGAACATATTATTAAAAATACTGTCACAACAAGCACTAAGTCATCCATGGCCACATGGACAGAGCTCTCATAACAATTTAGTCAAGGCTGGAGACCAATAATTAACATTTCTGGATAAAAACAACACCTGAGCATTAGTATTCTCAAGCAGAGAAAAACACTTTTTATCTTAAATCATGCAATGCAAAATTTTTTGTGGTTTTATTTGTGGGAGACAACTGATCCTGACCATAAATCACAGGCTCTCATTGTGCCCCTTTCCAAATAGGGTAGACAAACCTGGGTGCGCGCACACACACACACACACACACACACACACACCCCTCATCTTTGTTAAATCATAACTCTGCAAAGTGTTTAATATATAGCTTTTGAGCCATGTTTCCCCCACTCTCAGCTTGCTGGGAGTCAGTAAACTCTGATCCAGCCTCACAGTGCTGAAGACAAATAGTGGACACTCCTGGAAGTACTGCGCTAGCTAACGAAGCCAGTCACAGACAAACTTGCTACTGGTTTGAGCGCTGGGCTTTCGGATGAGCATTTGCTCACATCTCAGCAGTTTTGGTGTGCTGGTTGTGCAAGCATCCTGAGCTCTGTAGTAAAACCAGTTATTGAAACGTATCCAGCCAACTTGAGGGATTGCACCTGATTTGCAGAACAAAATATCATGAGAAAAGTCCAGTAGCAAATTTATAAAGGAAATGGAATGTAGAGAAATGAAAATGAGAATTTCTCTTTTTATATAGACAGCCATCTAAAAGCTGCTAATACCTGGCTATTCACTAAATGGCTGTCTATTTAGTCTGAAGATCAGATGGCAAAAAAACAAGACCTACTAAGATGGTGTTCAGAACTAAAGTCACAGAAACTCAGGTTAGAAGGTTTTCAATTTTTACCCACAGAAACAAGTGCAAAAGACAGTAATGGAAGGTTTATGAGAAATATACTTGCCAAAAAAAAATTGCTTTTTTCCCCTCAAACTTCTACAGTGCACTTAAGCAAAATGGGCTGTGAAAAGAAACGGGAGCTGTGAGATGGTTGGATTATGACCAAACACGTCACACAATCTTATGCTCAAATTCAATCTGCAGTTTCTCTGGCACAGGAGCTGCTTGAAGGATGGTATCAAAAATGTCCTGGTACCTGGCAATGCATTGCACCAGTGAGATGTCAGCAACAATTGTCTTTAGCCCTTTCTATTTACTGTCTTTCATTAATGACTTGAGAAAGAAGGTAACACAGGAGAGCTTATAGAAAAGCAACATGAGAGAAACATCTGGTAGACTTGCCATCTGGTCTAAACAGAAAAATAAGAAGGCAGTGCATATCAGAGACTAGGGAAGATACCAGAGAATGAGGTTCATGCTGGGGCTACACAGCTAATTTATCTAGGGAAAAAAATCCAGAGGAGACATACTTAACTGAGGGATAAATCTAGACTAGTATGAAGGTTAAGAGAGATCTGTAGGTGAAGCACTCAGCAGCTGAACAGCATCTTTGTATCATAATGTGAAATGAAGATAAAAAGACTTTTTTTACTATATTGAGGTATTACTTCAGGGTTCAGAGATATGTTGTTTTCCCAGAGGCTCAAGTCTTAAACATACGTGGAACAACTTATTCCATTCAGGATGCTACATTTCAAGAAAAATAGTGACAAATTAGAGGCTATTTGGAGAAAAAACAGGAACAACTATTAGGGGATTTGCAGGACTGAAGAAAAAGGAAAAAAATACCTAGAGGAGTTAAATATGTAAGTCACAACTAAATTATATGAACATAATTATGCAGACATAGATACCAAGAAATAGCTGGGAAACTATTCAATAGCGAAGGAACATAAACTGGGAGGAATCAGATCAACTTCCAATAGGATGTAGAGAGTACAGATCAGCTAAATATCCTTGAAAGTGAAATATGTCCTAAGCAGGACAAGTGACACTGCTTAGCTGCTGTAGGAACTAGCACGGAAAAGAGCAAGCAAGTACCTTCATAAGGAAATAGGTATCTTCCATGTCTAGAGCTTAAAATTCTCATATGATAAAGCACTGCTGGATCAGGCCTAATGTCTTCCGTTCTTTTAGGAACAAGCAGATGATACAAAAATGTTGGAAGTGCCAGAGGTGCTCCTTTTGCTCCTTTTTATCTGGAACAACCGACTCCCCAGCCTACTATGAGGACAGCAGCCTGAGAAGTGCTGATTTAAAAATTAAATGTGAAGCCCAAGTCTTGTTACTTATGGTCAGTGCCTGTGCCACCACAGCATCAGCTTCCTCTTGGTGTTCTGTCCTAACCTGCTGTTGCAAAACTTCTGTTAGACTCTGTATCAAAGGCATCTGCATTTTACCAGTACCTGAATGACTCTTATGCGTATCATCTGTAATATGCTGTTTCAGTATAATATGAAGACTCATTCTGTCCTAAACTGGAGGATCCCACCCATGTGATACTGCCTATCATCAAACCTGTCACAATGGCCTGGGATTTGTGGCATGGTAGCCAGCCACAGGCCCACACATAAGATGTTCTTATCTTCTCAATGAGAAATACTACATCATGTATTTCCTACTCTGGGATGTTTCTCCAAGCCATCACAGATTATTTTCAAGGTCTCCCATCAGGTGTTGATCCTATCTCATTGAGACCCACCCCTCTTCCTAGGATCCTCCTTCCTCAGACGCACCTCCCCTGGAAGCAGTCCCACAGAAATAAAACACTTCCACCAGCCAGGATGGCAAGACCACATTCTCTTTAATAACAACTCCATAAAGGACTGTACATGCTATTTTGAACTACCTCCCCTTCTTTACTGTGGTTGCTGCCACATACAGGCATGGAGGTGTATAATGCCATATAGTTTCCTAAGTCTATATGTAGTGTGTGTACATGTGTGTATGTGTTTGTACATGTGTGTATTTATATATATCTTTGTGGAAGTGCTATCTCATAAGTCATATTATCAAAACATGCAAAGAATATCCAACAAAAATTTTCAGGCAAACATGTTTTGGAGCTGGAAGACCAAAGGCAAATCAGACTCATTTTCATTATTAAGGGCTCATGTGGGACAAGGTGAGATGAACCTTACGACAGTGGGCCCCTTTCTCTTTCTATTTGACTTCCATTCAGTATTTTCCCCTTGACTCTGTAAACACTAGCTTGAAAGAATACAAATAATCAATATTGAGCCTCCCCCTACAGAAAATGTGTACAGATGGGGGAGGGGCTCTTTAAATTGCACAGATGCAGCCTCCATTGTCCCATTCCCTTATGCTAAAGCAGTTTCAAACACTGAAAATGCCAAATTTGAAGCCTTAAACTTTTAGTTAAATATACTTCAAGAAATCATTCCATATGCAACCCATGAGACCCCCATCCACCACCCTTGTACCTCCCAAGCCCTGTCTCCCATCTACACCCTCCCATCTGTAGAAAGAAATGAAACAAGAGAAATCCTGTTCCCTGTAAAATACCCACAACCCAGAGAAGAAAAAATAAAGCCAAACAAGAATATGTACCTGCAAAAGAGCTTTTGGCTTGCCACATTGCTCACAAATACAGCACCTGAAAAGAAGGGAAGTCTGCCTGTACTTGTCTCATGAAAGCTCAGCAGAACTCTAGAAGAGAGGTGTTGAGCTTTTGACCGTCAGTTTACGACTGGGTTTCCATGAAAATGAAATTAGTCCTAATGAAAATCAGTCCAGCAGGCTAGTGAACCTGAACTAAATGCTTTTATCTCCCTAGAAGTAACACTTGCTGCATGATCTTGTCTTCATGATGGAGAAAAACCTTTTTAGATGCTTTTGCCAGACTAGCATGCACGTTTGTTTCCTTAGGGGAAAGCAGAAACAGGACTGGGTTTCAGAGGGCATTTAAAATGGGCCTGATCAAAAGAGGAGAGGAGGATGCTTAGTAACATTCTTTTCAAAGAACACAGCAACCCCTTTTTTCCTAGAAGATAGGAGCTATCATTCATCAGCAGGCAAGTCCCTTGATGACTGCATTAAAAAAATCTTACTTGATCTAGATTTCATAATTTTAAGAAAAAAGGCCCTATGAGTTTTAGTAAAAACATCATTTCTCAGAGATCCTTGGCCTGACTGTAATGTTTCCTCTTCCAACAATGTGTATCTGCTTTGGCAAAATATATTGCATAGTCTCTTCTGGTCCATATTACACATGCGCAGACCAACACTGAGGATCATAGAGCTTCTGATTTCCAAGAAAAGGACTGCACTTCGTTATGCCTATGCTGGGAAAAAAGTCAGTGCAAGGGCATAAATAGACTCTAATGGTCTAAGTGCAGTGTTCTAAGTTCCATGTCCATTTGCTAAAATAATAGCCATTTTGTCTTTATCCCTATCCAGTAAATTCATAATGCTGGTTGTGCTGCTGAGAGCACAGTGTTTCTAGCATTCTTGTCCAGGCTCCATGACGTGTTCTGAGATGAAGAGAAACACTGATCTGGCACAGATGTTGAACTGGTCTCTCCTGCTCCTATGCAGACTCACTACTATTTAGTCTGGGAAAAGTCTACGATATAAAAGAGGCAACTGATGTTGACTTTACAGCTTGCAATCTTTTTTGAGATTGTGCTTGAATGACTGTAGGCTATGCTCCGCATACCTTTAGTTCTAATATGCACTATTTTCCTCACATTTTCCCTGTTTATTTTTCCTTTTCCTGAGCTGCAGTAGAGCAATCCTTCCTAGTCAGATTGCTTCAGGGGAGTGGGGATCAAATTCTCAATGAAACTGTTGCTTATTTATACTTTTTTAGATGTAAGGACACCAGCTGCTGATAATCTCTGTATCGGAATGGATTTCTTTTTTCTTTCCTTTCGTTTCCTTTCTTTTGGGAAAAGTTAAGCAGTTAGTTTAAGGGAAATGCAAGACTGTTTTGAAATGTCTGAACAAGAAATAAGAGAAATTCAATCTGGGAGAAATTAGGAGGAAGGGTTTTAGATTGCAAGAGAGCAGGGACTTTGGCAAACTGAATAGATTGATGTGACCCTAATCAGGGGTACAAACAACTAATGCCAGCCTTGCCCTGTCTCCACAATGTTTAGAGGTGGCTTTTATTTATCCTTTTCTTTCTCTTTCTAGGCAATTACCAATGTAATTCTTAAGGCAAACTGAGCTAAATTTAGAGATTTGGGGTTCCCACTAAAGACAGAATCCACATTAACTTCATTTGGATGAGGACTGAGTTCTTTTGTGGGGGTATTTCTTATATGAATCCTCTGAAGAAGCAGAATTTAGTATGCTGTGAGCTGTTTTTTAAAGCCAGTAGCTGTTCAAATTCAGAGGGATCTCTGTCCTATCACTCTGTCTTACAGAAACAAGTTTGGCTTGGACTAAGGAGTACCAAGAGCTGTGCCAGTTCTGGAGCTATAGCTTATATAGCAATTATCAGCCTGATCCCATTCTTAGAGTCTTCCAGAAAGCCTTCTACCTCTGTGTAAACTATAGCTTCAAGCTTTTCTTGGTCCTTTCCCCCAAGCTTTTCCCTCAGTGTGTCTCCCTCTCCGGCTACACTTCCCCTTGCTGTTGCATGGAGCATACATAGCTGTCTACAGGTCCGTCCTGTTGCACCCTGCCTTGCCCCATTACCATACCTCTGTCAAATGAAGAGAGCAGTTTTCTTCTCTCCAGCCATCTTTCCTCAGCCTGCAACTAAATTTTCTTTTTTGGACATAGTTTATCACACAGACTCTGCCTTGGTGCGAAGAGTCATTCTGAATCTCACACTAGCTTGGAACTGGCTTAAAGACATGGATGAACCTCACCTCCAACAGCTGCCCTTCTCCAAAATCCCATTGTGTCTCTCACTCCTTCATATGGCTCTGCCTCTTGCAATTGCAGAAAAAGATCCATCAGTATCTTCATCTGCTGTGGAGTGTAATCACTGGGCGCATGAGAGATGTGCATGTTAATTTTATGAATTCCAGATGCATGTCAAGTTACCCATCTCCTCCTGCCTGATCGCAAGGGGTTAACTCAGAGGAGCCTGTGGAAGGGGAGGGAACAACGAGGGAAATTGCAGGGTGTTAAATAACAGCAAAGAGCAGTTCAAATAAGGGATTACTAGAAATTCTAAAGAAAACAGGAAGGAAGATACTAGGGGATGGACACATTCCCCATGGTAGTTCAGGTGGGTTTATTCTTCTCAGACAGAAATGTCTTGATTAGTTTAAACCATTTTAAGTTGCATCTCCAACCAAAGAAGTATCCTTTGACATAATGTTTTACCTGTCCTCAGTGATGCTTGCCTAGCCAAGTGAACCAACACAAGGAGCTGATCCCACTGAAACCTCCTTTTTGGTAGAGGACTGGGTTAGTTTTCAATGGGACCAATTCCTGTACAGATAAATGAATGTTAGTACTGGTGCTACTTAGGCAGCAGAAATATCCAGTTGGTGGTGAGGGAGAAGAGGAGAAAGGACAGCCCCTTTCAGCAGCTTAAACTCATCATGAAGATGCCATTTCAAAGTGCAGTTTCATGATTTACTTAATCTGATATATAGGCCAGCTGCTGCTGAAAACATTGCTCGCTCGCTCTCTGCATGAGAGCTCTTCCCTCTTGACTTTTACAGCAGGGTTCACTTCTACCATTGTGACTTTCTGCACCAGCTTGCTGGGGGGTCAGTTATGCATCAGCATCTGTACAAGGACTGTGAGAAGTGAGCACAGTCAGGGCAGGACTGCCTCTTTCACAGCAGCTTGCAATCTGATCAGCTTAGAGGTATAATTGAACTCTCCTCTTTGCTGCAAGCGTACCATGAAAGGTGATGTCTTAGTGAGGTAAGGAAAAAAAGGTGAAGGGGAAGGCAAATAGCTTGTCAGCAGCTTTCCAGAAGAAGATGCTGATTTAGAGGCACAGAAACTGAAAGAAGCAGATTGACTTCTCCATCCCGGAGCCTGAGGTAATGGGGTTGAAGAGAACTCACAAGGCTTGTAAAGAAAGCTTTAGATTTATATAAATAAAAGCTTATGTAAGCTTTCCTAGCATGGTCCCTTGACTTAGAGTTTTAGAATGAATAAGCAAAATGCTGCGTAGGTTCAAAGATTATCCAAGTCATTTTAATTCTAAGCTCCTGAAGGGAAAAAACCCGTCCTGTGAAGCACAGCAGGGCCTGTAGAGACCTTATGTGACTGAAGCACAGGAAGGGTGCCTGAACATGGAAGACTCCACTACATTTAGATAAAGAAAGTGAAATCTGACCTCTCCCTGAGTTGTATAATCACAGGAATAAAAGTACTAACTCTGCTTCCTTCTCCACACCACCACTGGAAAAAGGATGCAGCGGGGCAGTGCAGGAGGCAGTTAATCAATCTGAGATTCATCAAATCACATATAGAGTCATGCAGGGACTGCTCCAACTGCTACTGCTACATAGGTAGAGGTCTAAGCCAGTGACCTAGGAAGGTGCCTCAGTTTCCAAGCTACCTTCTTTTATCAAGGCCTTGAGGATAAAATCTTCCATATACCATTCAGCACTTCCTTAATTCTCCCAGTTGTCCTCAATATAAGAGAAACATGAAAGCAATACCTTAGAAATGAAAGATCCCCATCTCCTATGCTTTGGTTGCTCTGAGGCAGTCACTTCCCATGCTTTATTAGGATTTATTGAAAGTACTGGCTCCAACTCTTAATATAATAATCCTGCTGAGACTTTTCCAACCCTGTGTCCCCATTCCTCCCGCAATCCACTTTCCGGGTTTAAATGCAGTAGTGTAACTGATTAGACATAAGTAACTGAGGAAAGGAACATGAGAAACTTTTCTTATAGTGGAATGTGAGATCTTTTTCAATTAGGGTCACTTATGTTTAAGCGTTCGTTCATGTTCAGCACAATAACAGCAGCAGCTCCTGTTGAAGACAAAGGCTTTAAAGTGGGAAGGAAAAAAAAGGGGGAATCTTCTACCTTTGCTGCAATTTCCCACATTTTTATGTAGTGCAGCTGTGTTTTACAAAGAGTATAAATGTATAAATGAACAGCAGGGCTCAGTTTCTTAGTAACTCTAGATCAAGCGTATTCAGCTTACCTTTCCTGCTTATTGCCAGCCTCACAAATTCAGTTTGGGCTCTGAGTATTTGGCTGGACTCTCTCCAACTCATCCATCCTCACCAGGATAAAGGAACTGCAGGCCAAATTTTGCTCACAGAGCACCTGTGCCTTCCATATGCTTGAAAAGGTGCAGCTATATAATAAAGGCTTTTCTGGGAAATGTACGGTAGGTTCCAGACCCCTCCCTCTGATATTGGATACACACAGGCAGCAGGCCTATTACATAAGAAAAAGCCAGGTTATACAAATCATTTTTCCATTTTCAAAGAGATTCCACCTGCCTTTCCAGTTCAACTGAGGATGCTCACACAGATAGCAAGTGGTGATACACAACACTGCTCTCTCCAGTCAAGCCTGGCAACTGGACAGGCAGATACATTTCTCTTTTGGATGGTGGAGAGGTCATGAAAAACAGCTTGTTCCCTTTTTCAGAAAAAAAAGAAAAGGAGCTTTATTCACAGAAAGGGAAGACCTTTACGAAAAAGTCTTATAGAATTTAGTAATCTTGAAATTAATAAGTTTATATAGAGATTATTTTTCAAACCAGGCAGATTTCACAGAGAATGAAAGACTATCTACAGCTTTCTAGAGATCAGGTTATGGAATTACACAGCAGGATATAATTCTCTACCCATTCCACAGAGTTTAGAAAACCCTACAGAAAGGTTTTCTCTTGCTATTCAGTTCTGTAGAGTTTTCTGTTAGATTGGGGATTTTTTCAGACTTTTTCCCATGTAGTATAATGTTTCCCTGTCACTCCCTTGCTTGGAGAAAAAGTACATCTTTTAGACATTGATCAGATTATCTCAGTAAATGTACGACATGTCCACATTAAAAGAAAAAGAAGCCCTGGACAAGTTGACCCACTTGTCCCAGTCCCGTAAATGATATGGAGGGAGCGAGATTGCTTGAAGCTACACTGAAAGTTACCATAAACATCCAGATTGGTCCTGGAGAGGCACATGGGGACAAAATAGCTCTGAGAAAAAAGCAACAAGTCACCCAAACCTTCTCCCACAAAGGAATGTACCAGACCATTTTTGTTACCCTGAAGGTTTTAAAAAAAAAAATACAGTAAGAAAAAGTTAACACTTACTCATTTGTCCTACCATGGGCTAAGGTGCCCTTTGCACTTGCCCCATCTCCCCTTTCTGGCTAGCTGATTTCCTAAGCTCTGCTCCACGACTAGAACCAGACCTGTTCAGAATATTGAGCTAGCACTGCCCCTGCAAGAACTGTAGGAGATCATCTTCATCAAATCCTCCTGCCCAGAGGAGGTTAGCACCTGAATGTGTAAACATCTTTAAAGAGATAGTGAAAGGTCATCATTCAGGAGAATAGCTACCTCCTAAGAAAGATGTAGGCAAGCCCAAGGAAATGGGGGAAAAAAGGTGGTCACAAAAGCTTTTATCTCTTACCTACCCCAAATTATCAGTCTTACTTAAGTCTCCCAAAGGTGTTTTCCTTTCAGGTGCAATGGAGAGGAAAGACAGATCCGCTTGAAGTGGAGTTGGCTGGCAAGACTTGGGAGTTCATGAAGGAGTTCCATCTTCATGCAGCTGCATGTGTAAGTGGCGGAAAGCTGAATGGGCTAAAATCCTATCTGAGAGTCCCGTTCACACTTTGCATAACTCCTGGACATAATCTGCTTTGCTTGCCAGGAGTTGTCTGAACTCTGAGCCTTGATGATATTATTTTGGTCACATTTTATTCTCCTCAGATTTTCTTCCTGCAAATATGCTGAGGTCTAAACCTGAATCAAGAAAGGAGCATGTATCACTCTCTTGTCATCCAATCAATGTATCAAGCCTGAAGAGAAGGCAAAGAAGAGACAAATGTATCATGAACTGAACAGAGAAGATATGAGCTGGAGTAAGTGAAAAAGAGGTGCCCCTGGGATAGTGTGGCAGTGTCCAGTCACCTTCCTTTCTCTAGGTCATCTCTGGCATCAGATCTAAACCCGTGCTTTGCTGAGGCTTCCTTGTAAGTGGTATTACAATTAAAACTTAACACTTGTGTAATCTCTGCTGGTTCTGTTCAGCTCTCCAGCAAAATCAATAGCATTATACATTTTTTTTGGTTTGGTTTGATTTTGCTCCCATTTATTTTCTGACGAGAGCTTGAGAGGAGATGGTTTGTTCAATTTCCTTTCAAAGCCCCTTCCCCCAAAAAGAATGTCTGTAGAAAAATGGCAAGGAACTGTGAGAGACCAGATTCCCTTTACACAACGAATCATAAGCTTTTTAACACAAAAAAATTGAACCTGTACAAACAGAGAAAACTGAAACCAGCTTTCTCCACTCCTAAAGAAGAAGTGGAAGGGGAAAAGAAACAGACCAAGTACTAAGCATAATTTACATTGTTTGGAGGGAGAAAAAAAAAGGAGAAAATATAAGCCAGAAGAACAAAGAAATAGGAGAAGAAAATTTTCTCTCTCACCCCTTTTCCTCCATTTACATTTGGCACTGCAGAAGGAGTGGCAGAAATGGGAAGGGTGCAGTATTTCTGATCAGTGGTGGCTGGAGTACAGACCTTTCCCAATATTAACTGCTTTGTTAAGAATGCTTACCCATTAGTATAAAAATGTTTAAAAAAAAAAAGAAAAGAAAAGAAAGAAAAAAAAGAAATACACAAAACTTCCCAGGCAAACTGGAAATTTTTGATCCTATAGCTGTGCACACTGTTCCTGGATCTGCTGTCTACTCTCTGGGTCTTAGTGCTGGCAAAGGAAAAGACAGAAGGATACAGCAGCAGCAGCAAGATGGACATGTTCTGAAGCCCCCTGCAAGAGTTAGCTTTTTATGACTGTCTCTGTAGCTGAAAATGTTCTTTCCACTGGCAGCCAGTGCCCATCCAGTGCCAAGCACAAAAAGGACACACCAGTCTTGCCAGTTCCTGGGCAGGTAGAAATGTCAAAGGGAGAAACAAATAAACAAAAGATTAGAAAGACACCAAAGCATGAGTATCTGAAAGCAGAGTTAGATTTGTATCCACATCCATTCCTCCATGCCACAGTAGAGCCATGCCCACAAAGCCACAATATCTATACTGCAGCACAGCCCGTGTCCATGGAGTGCGGTCTGTATCCATTGAGCCTACAATTTCATACCAAGGTGCTATTGAGGATCTGGTTACAGAGCCAGTCCTTCATCTCAGTACAGTCTATACTGAATACAGCCTTATCCTCTGCACCAGCCATGATTCACTATACTAGTGCAATCTATATTTGTAAAGCCATATCTTCAGTTTAAAACAGTCTATAATCACATATTCTATCAAAGGGGACTGCATCCACGAAGCAACTTTCATTCTGTCAAGATGGATCCTAGCCACATAGCCACTTCCCATATCAAGCCTGTCTCATCAGCCACATCCCCAGTATCAGAAGAGTTTGTATCCAGAGTGAAAGCTTTGTATTAAAAATATTTAGAAATGATTTACCAATCCAGATTTCTCCAAGCACTTCTTGTATGTTGCCCAGAGCAATGAAACTCAGAAATATGTGTCCATGGTGAAGGGGAAGAAGAGGTCTTCATCTGTCAATCACTTTCAGACTTTCCTCTTATTTAAAAAAGAATTAAATGTCAGGAATGGAAAGTGTGTCTGCTTGGAAGTCCGGGAAGTTGGAGAGAAGAATCCCTGTCATTTCATTCCTTGCCACCCCTTTCTTTGTTTAGCAGTGATGAGAACTTCACAGAAAGCATCAGTTGTTTGTTTCTCCCTCTTCCTCATCAAAGGACTGCACCCCAGAAGAGGTGACATCTGAGACTTTGCGGCTCAGTGCAGCATGCTCCAGCTCCTCCCTAGGAGACAGCGATTCTAGGTCCCGGCACACTGCATCATCCTCCTCTGGAGAGGGCTTCTTGTTTAGGAGAGGAGCCTTCTCCAGCCGTGGGTTCCCTTCATCCTCAACATGGTCCTCCATATAGGCGCTAGACTCAGCACCACCCCCACCCTGAGCAGTCTGCAGGGGCCACACGTGGACCAGCCCTGTGCTCTGGATGAAGTTCTGCTGCTGTCGCTGTTGCTGCAGCTGTTGCTGCTGGATGAGGCTGCTCTGAATCAAAATGCTTTCCTGAAGGTTTGTCTGGGAGTCATCAAAATTCTGGCCTAAGTAGGAGCCAGCTGCTGGGGAAGCAATTAGGGACTGGTCACTGGTCTCCCAGGCATCAGATGAACCTAAGCAATACATGCCCTGTGAGACATAGGAATGAGGCCAGCTATCATACTGCGTCTGGGCCATGTGCTCTGCAGGAAAAGGAGGGAAACAACAAAGAGTTAGACACTGCCTCTAGGCCAAGCCTTCTCATTCAGAGATAGCTTGGGTGTCTACGTATGGTGCTGTATTACACAGGGAAGGTAAATCCTTTAGGGGGCAGAAGAGTGAAGAGGAAAAGTAGCTCTAGGCCACAGATATTATACCCATGACTGATTTTGAGAGCTGGTGGCTCTCCTCAGTTGTACCTAAGCAGCCAGATAAACTGGGTTTTAGAGCCTCTCAGTTAAGGTCAGACTCCTTGAACAGCTCCACAAACACATAATGCATCTGCTAGATCCCAATCACAAAAATAAAGGCTTCAGTATAAGACAAAGAGTGGAAGGGTGAAGAGCAACATGGCAACAAGAGGAGGAGAGAGGTGTTTCAAGATTAATGCGGTGCTCACCTTGGCTCTCCATTAGCTCCTGATAGTTGTCGGAGTAGTTGCCTGCTGGATTATCCTGATTTGAGTTTACACTTACATCCTCACCATCCATGGAAGACCAAGCCATGAGAGTTGCCTCAGAAATAGCAAATTGCTCCATCACTCCTGTGCCAAAGGAGACAGAGAGAGGAAACAGGGACGTGAGAAGGTCTTCACTTCTTGCCACCCTCTTTAACCTCATCTGCTGGTCACATTATCCCACCCTAGTCTTATCTCAGCAACATCCATCACCCACAATTGGCTGTCACCCTCTCTGCTTTGCATTCCATTGGCAACACTCCAACCACAGCTTCTCATCTCTTTTTGCCCTTTGAACCAGCCCCAGGTTCTCTGGAGTGTGTTTTTTAAGTTTCGGCACTTAAGTCTCTCAAGGATTCTGCTCTGGGACATCCCAAACCAACCCAATCCACATGCAGAAAAGTCAGAGCTACCTGCAAGGAACCGTGCCTCCTTTTCACCGTCACTCAGGTCTGAGTAGGCATCAGCATCTTTGCGTGCTGTCTCATGCGTGTGCTGCTGCTGCTGGCTGTTAGCTTTACCCCAGCCTTGCCATTCAATCATGTGAGCCACGCGGCCTTGGCCCATAGCCGTTGGCTTAGTGACATGGTCCTTCATGCTGCGGGATATCCCTAAGGGGCCAGACATTAGAAAACAAGGAGGGGCTATTACACAGCTCCAGGGTTGTCTGTCACTCTGCTCACCCCTCTTTGGAAATGGGATTCTTGCCTCCTTTCCTGCCAGGATTCAGGCCTTGGGTTGCATGTCTCCTGCCTTTCACTGTAGCACTCTCCAGGGGAGTTTCTCCATCTTTCCTTGGCCTGGCTCTCAGGAGAAACCCACGTGTGAAAGACCTGGAGAATTTATTTTCTTCCTTGTCTACAATCCATTTAGGACAAATTTGAGCATGAATGGTGAAACCTGGAATTGGATGAACTATGAAATAGAAAATGGGGTTAATCCCAGGACAGTGTGAGGGGAAGTAGTTGAAGACGTCTCAGCTGCAGTGCACAATGAGAAGCCAAAGACATAAGACAAATCTGTTCTTTGAAGGTGCAACAGCTAAGAGATGTCTGCATCTAGAACATGTTGGTGTGGATTGCTCTAAGGCACAGGGCAAGAGTTAGAATGGAGCAATGGGGAGAGGCACAAAGGCATGTGGAGGGAAGCTGCATAGGATAAACCCAAGTTTTGAGGACCTCACCAGAGAAAGATGATTTAGCCAAAGCCCCAATCCCATAAGCATTGGAGTTGCGTTTCAGCTTGGGGAGGATGGAGGTCGTATCTTCCATGGAGAGCTGAAAAGAGAGAGAATATGAAGAAATTATATATGAAAAAGGGAAGGGATGGATGGAAAAGCTAATGGGAGATAAAGAAGAAGAGAATGAGAAAAGGAAGGGAATGGAAGTGAAAGATCAGTTTTAGGATTCCAGAAGGTAGGTGGAATATGAAGCACAGAAGCAAGCAACAGGAAAAAGAACAAAACAGGAGAAGGAAAAAGCAGAGACAATTTAACCAAGACTGGATACTGTGCAGCTGCGGGACTGAGTGAAGTCAGGTTAGGGGAAGAAGCAGAGATAGGCTGAGAAAAGCCTTCCTTTCACCCCCACAAATCCTCCACGGACATGCTGCGCTGTTCCCAACTCTTTCCTAGAGATGCAAGACATGGCTGACGGACAATTCAGGGAGCTTAGAATAGGGAACTGACAATGTGATAGGCAAGACACAGTAATATGGATTATACTACAGATATTAATTTGTTACATATGTATAACTTTTGGTGCTGATTTTCTCTGACTTTTTGTAAAGTCTTAATAAAAAAGAGCATGACTGCATCAGTGATAAGGCCTGTTTCATTCAAGCATCTACAGCTATGAAGAAAGAAATGAGGTCCACAGTTCTGCTGAATTCCCTTTATTCTCTTTCCTGTGTTCAATTTCGGTCTTCCTGAACAAGAACAGGGAACTATTGGGAAAGGTAGCAGTCAGAAACATCATCATAAAAATACAGTCCCTCAAGACAAATTCCTTGGGATTCTTCAGAGATGCCAGGCATTGCATTTTAGGCTTCATTTTCACAAGCATTAAGAAAGCATTGCTTCCGCTTTTCATTTCAACCTCTCTGAAAATCAAGTCCAGCATGTTTCACACGGGGCATCAAAAACAAAGATACTCAAAAGCAATGACCATAACCCTGGAAATTTTAAACCCGGACATGAAGCAAGTATTTGGTCTACAGGCATAAACTTCATGAAAGCTGAAAGGAGCAGTAATTAGGCAGTCAAACAGTTGGAGGTAAAGGAAGCCATTGCAAAGATATTGAATCGCAAATAATCCCAGTCATTTGTTGCACTATGAGAGGAGACTTTCTCTAAAAACTGAATGTAAATACAGTGGCTGAGGCATCCTATTACATTGAAGCCAGAAATTTCTGCATGTAAAAAGTGAGCTGAAGCGATCAGAAAGCAGGGGAAATAAAGCAGAAAGTGAAAGATGTAGCTGAGAACACAGCCCTCATTCCATGACAAGCTTCCTTTGGTGATAAGGCGGGTTAACGAATGTCCATGCATACCCCCACTGGTTATTCCTGCCTGTTCAGCATCCATTCATTTGTTTCAAGACAATCTGAGGGCTGTGCTGTGAGCCACCCTGTGGGAATGACCCAGAACAGAAAGCAACCTACAAGAAGGCTGTACTGCTTTGGGGTAGAGGCCTATGGTATGAAGGCAGGAATGAATGGGAAGAGAAGGAAATTCATAAGCTTTGACACCAAAGAAGTTATATGAAAGTACACTGAGAAAGAGCCACATTGAGAAAGAGGTGTATGGATCCAGAACGGGTAGGACAATGAGAAACTGCAAGTAAGGAAACTGTCTCCAACTATGCTTAAGAACATAGGGCTTTGTCTACCTTACTTTCAGCTAAACAGAACTGCAGTGAGGAAAAACCTGACAAATTTCTCCTAGACTGTAGCTGCATGCACTGTAATTTTCAGCACAGCTTGTTTCTCTAACTGAACCTAGGCACAAGATTCCAAGCGGTATGAGATGTCAGTAGCAGGAAGGTTAATGAAAAATGTAAGTCCCATTGATAGTCAGTGGCCCGAGTGCTGTGAACTCAGAGAGAACCAGAAAAAAAGCACCCATTTAAAAGTTCTGAAAGTAGCTGGAATTTGAAAATGAAGCTTCTGATTCTGTCTTTCAAAGTGGACAAAACTGTCCTCTGGTAATTTATATGAACTGAACATTGTTGAAGAAAAAGCAAGATGATGGTTAGCATTATATGAATTTAAGTGAACACACTTTTTAAGCTTCCAGAGCAAAAAATAGTTTGGCAGTACTAATATGTAGTGTTCCCTTTTCAGGATGCATTATTTTTTCATTATTAAACAAAAAATAAAAACTTGGTGTTTAATGGCATAGGTATTGAGAGCAACTAGGAACATATTTTATTCAAACATTTGCTTGCTTTCTCCACTTGTTAACTAAAGTTAACTGGTGCTGAACACTCTCCAAGGGACATTAAAACTCCTTTACTTTTCTATGTAACTGAATATGAGGGATACATCTCTTCCTAACTCCTAAAGATCAAATGATGCACTCACTGGTCAAAGACTACTGATTCTTTAAAAATGATGGAGAGACACCTTTTTTATCTAGCAGTGCCCAGAAATCTCAAAAAGAGAGCATCAGAAATGACACGCATTTGCCCCATAAGGGCCAATGGCAACTTAACAGCTACCTACAGATCTAAATCACCTCCAAACAGCCAAACACAGAGGCAAACAAAAATTCATCAGCATCTCCTGAGTCCTCGACAATGAACAGAATTTCAGTGGTACTAAAAGCTTTCAGTCATATTTCCATTCTCATCTCCGTTATAGCCAGTGGCAGAAAAATCCTGGGCTTCCTATGGCTAGAAATCTGAACAGTAGCGTGGTGTATACTCACATTAATGCCATCCCAGGAAAAATCTGTCCGTGTTTGCTAAAGAAAGAAAAGAACAACATCATGTTAGCATAACAAATGAGCAAGCTGCATACTGCCATATATCTCTCTAGTAGCTGATCATAACCAACAGCCATTTCTTTAGCTGTTAAATCAAAAACTTCTGTCTTTGAAGATGAGAGATCTGGTTTTCTTCCCTGCTGTTCATTGTGGTGTCTGTAGGTATCATGGTATTTGTATGTCAGGGAATTGGATGATACAAAGAGCAAGAGAGAGGGAGAAACACAAACACCTTTTGATAGGAATCCTCCTCACTTATTAACAGCTCTTCTTTGCTAAATACTACCACTCCGGCATGCCTGTGTGGGAGGTGCATCTCCTGGGGTTAACACAAGGAGGAGCTAGACTACCTCTGTATTTTGAACATAGAGGGTTCAGTAACAAGTTATGGAATTATTTTCTCCTGGAACGATTTTCTCCTGCAGTGTTTCTGTTTGTCCACTCTGACCCGCGTTCCATTTGCAAACCAGATCCAATTTCCATACCAGCCATTACAGTATCAATTCGTGGTGCATCTCCTTCAGCTAGGAAGACTCACCTCTCAACTCCTTGGTTTTGGGATGCAGGCACTCAAGAAAATTAAGATGGCTCAATTACAGCTATAGTATCCATTCACATAAATCAAAAGGGTATTAAGCTCCAGTATGAGTGCTCTCATTCAGGAGTAAAGAGGCCTTAGATTATTGCACCTTAATCTTCTGACAGTACCCATACAGTTCAGTGAGGTATAATTTACGTTCATTGACTTCTCGATCTGTATTTGACTTAACTGAATTTTCCATGCAAGGCTGGGCCCCACAATTTCTCCCAGGGGTCTGTGAAACTCTAAGCATTACAAGCCAGAAGAGTGTTATAAAGGAATAAAATACCTATATATTAATACTTTGTACAGTTATGTATATTGTATGTTACTTGTGAATACTATGTGTGAGTTATTCATGAACTTCATTTGTGTTTCCCAAAATGTTATTGGTTTAAAATAGCTTTGATCTTTTTCCTAATCATGGCTGCATACCCTGAAACTTGCAGAGATGAAAATTCAGGTATCTAAGACTACAGAAGCTGCAATAATTCAAAACAGGAAATGAATCAGCCTTTGAGATACTGCGTGGCAAATCAATTGGCAGTGAGTTAATAGCGAATGCATCCCTAAAAACCAAAATGGAGACAAATATGTTTCTTCAGAAAACTAAGACTGTGCTACAGAAGCTGGGAGAGCCATAGTGCTGGACATTTCAATGAATGCAATATTCAAGGAGCGCAGACCTGAAGGCTTGTCAGAACTGCCCCATTTTTTACCATGTTCTGTTCTATGCCACTTGTGAGAGGTTATAAGTAAGAGGTTATTTGCAAACGCTTACTCAGTCTGAATACTTTGAGGTGAATGACTCAACTCTATTCAATATAAGCCAAGTTTCCAGAGGTGAAAGTCTGATCTTTGGGTACACACTGACGTTCTGGTCTTCTCCCAGACGATACCCCAGTGATGCATAATACTCATTTCTGAACTCAGAAAGAATCAAAACTTTCCAATTCCCCTGTGTAAGTGGATACAGGACAGGTACTCACCTCAGTGGAAGGTCGATGGAAGCTGCTGCCATGCAATGAACTGGTGCTGTCCATATTGATTTGGTCCACATCTTTCAGTCCTTTCCAGTCTACTGCAATGACCTCGTTTCCTATAGAAACATACCTAGTCAGGTTTCTGGATGCCACTACAATGTGTTTTACCAGTCTTAAGCCAGGTCAGCTCAGCATATTGGAGAGTCACTGAGTGTACGGCCACAACGGGCAGCTGGAACATTTAATCACACCTGTATATCATCAGCTACTACATTTCACCCTGTTATCTGCATGTGAAGACCAGTCATCTGTGTTCTTCCCAAGCACAATGTATGCTTGGCTAAAGCGTAACTCCCAGAAGAAAAGCATCTAGTCATGATATGTGATTGAGAAATAATCGCTTCTTTTGATATCCTGTTCCAATATTAAATCATCATCACTTAAAAAGGCATTTCTCCTTTCTAATTTGAATTGGTCTGGCATCAACTTACAGCTGCTGGTCCTTGCTTTGCCTTTCTCAGCAAGATTAAAGAGCTTTTTAATACCTGTCATGACATTTCAGGAAAGTTATTCTCACACTTGCTTTTCTTCTTCACAAATTAAACAGACTGAGATCTTTAGGGTTCTCACTGTAGAGCATTTTTCTACCTCCCCTTATTAAATCTGTGTCTCTTTTTAAAAGGCATCTCAAATTTGTCAGTTCTATGAAAGGCAGACATAAGGATGTACATGGTACTGCAGGACTGCTCTCACCCGTTCTGTCAATAAAGTTAAAAATCACTTACTGCTTCTGATCACATCAAACCATTCTGGCATAACCTTGCAGTATATACTCACATTCAGTTGTTTGTTCATTGTGATTCTCTAAGCACTTTGCACAGCTTTCTGAGATTGTCACCCATTCAAAAGCAGTCTGTGCTGTTTGGTTTTAGATGCATTTTAATAACAAGTAAAGGATCAAATAAAATTAATCTAAATTAAATTAATCTTTAAATTAATTTAAAATAAAAATGATTTTTAAAAATGAAAAAAATTGCATAAGAATAAACTTTAAAATAAATAGAACTAAATGCTAAGTAACTGTCTGTATTTAAAGTCAGTCAAGTAACACGGACTCCTCTGTATGACTGCTTTCTCCAGATAACTATTTCCTATGCCTTCAGCCCTCGTGTCATCCTCAGACTCTGTTAAAAGTGATTTTTATTCCTACTTCCATGTCATGGAGGAAAACGTTGTGTTGTACTTAAAACTGAGTCTTTTGGAACCTGGCAAGAAATGCTGTATCAGTAACGATCACCTATTAACAAGTAATTCCTGGGATCTTGAGCAATTCCCAGTCCGTTTGATATATATGCTGTTGAACGCATATGGTGTTTTCATCAGCTTTTAGCTTTTTTATTTGTTCTTCATAGGAAATTTCATCTCCCCAAACATTTGGAAATCCTCTTGCTTGTTCTGGCAATTCTGGCTTACTTATACCCGCTCATCACTATGCTTTCAGGGTGGAGACCTTCTGACAGGCAAGAGATGCTGCACAACAAGCAGCCCTACAGAGGCCTGCAGGAGACACATAGGGATGGGAAGTCTGAGGCACTCATCAGCTAGAGTTCAAAAAGCAGAAAACCAGCTTGGTCTTAAAAAGGCTAAATATGGTGAGCTGAAAGCCAGCAGAAAGCAAATGCTATCTGATTTGATGTCCATCACACCTCTTCTTCTCCTCACTCTCTGCTATGCAAAAACATCTCACTTTCTGGAAGAATTAGGACATATTTTCCCCTTCACACTTGAAATATGTTTTCTTTTCATCAGGATAATTGGGACTGAGTGTTTTAATAGCGTCCCCCATATGCTTCTGACTAAGCTGAGTAAGGCAGAAGCAATTCAGGGATCTTTAAAAGAAAAGGGAGATTCCTGTACTGTTTGACACTATTAAGGTACACATTACAGATCAAACGCAGTCAGACTTCAGAAGGAGACAGGGCTAGGCTGTGATGAGCATGATACAGATCACCTCTCAGGGTTGTGAGCCTCCTAGCTAGCTTTGAGCTCAATTAATCATTACGGATTGTGATTATTATTAACTGTGGTCCATTCATGAACTCCAAGTGTGGAGCCGAATCTGTGTTAAACTCTGATCAGATCATTTGGCTCCCATCTGCAGGCAACCCTCTTTGCAAGGCTTAAGGGTGCTTCAAGTTATGCACAGAGACATCCCAATAAGTCTGGAGACATCTCCACTCTTAAGGCCATGCCAGCAAGTTCCTAGGGCTGAGAAAGAGTCACCAAAGCTTTCTCTAAATCCTGGCACAGAATTTATAGACATGGATGGGATCATTATCTCATTCTCTCTGGCTGGTGGGTACAGCTACAACTAGCCCACTTTGAGCAAACACTTCCTTTACTATTATTTTATTTGATATTGCCCTGCAATATCATCGATACCTTCTACCCAGCCTTAGATTATGTTTTGGCCTCCCCACTTAGCAGCAATTTCTTTTCTTTTTTTTTCTTTTTTTTCTTTTTTTCTTTCTTTTTGTTTGTTTTGTAAAGCTGTGGAAGACTGTATGATCACCTATCAAGCTGACAATCCTGAAACCAGCAAAGTGAGAGAGGGAGGTTTGGGGTATGCTTGGATCCAAGTGAGAGAGGCAGGACCTTACTAGGCCCACTCATGGGTTGCCTGTTCCCAGTGCTGCTGGAAACTTCTTGGACTTGGGGGTTAAAATCAAAGCCACCCATCTTCTAGGGCTAGAAATACCCCTAGCAAGGGGAAGTGTCTGCTAGAGCCCTGAGAAGCCTTAACTGTCGCACTCCTAGGTGCATCCACTATAAGGTCCAGTGATAGCTTAAAGTAAATGTATTTGATCTCCCTTGATCAGGAAGGAGCAGAAGGGAGAAGCGAGTGAAGGACAGGTAAGGGGCACTGCAAGGAGGTACAGATCTGGAGAGGCCAGGTACAGGAATGGTTGGAAGGACTGAATGTAGTCAGGGTGAGGTGAAGAGTCCACAGAGGTCAGTGGGTGGCTGAAAGTGGAGTTAGGAGTAGGCATGGGAGCTTAGACAATTTGAATGGGCATGGGGAGCTGGGAGGCATTGAGAAGCTGCAGAAGGTTTTGGTGGAGCAGGTCTGTCTCCCCCATTCCCCTTGACTCTGCTTGCTGGGATCTGATTACCATCTTCCTGCACAGGCAGCCCCCA